AATGGATGAACGGTGTGAGCATAACAAACATATTGTCTGTGATCATGGTTCAGTGACCAGAGCTTCAGTACGAAGAAAAAGGTCCTAAGTTCCGGATTCAGGATTTGTAACTGTGGTCACTGCATCTGAAACGCGGACCGTTGAGTCCGGAAAAAGTTCGTAATTACGACTCACAGATCGTAAGAGTCTCATCAGCTCAAGTGTGAGCAACAGAGCGTGAATGGCCTGTTGAGGCCAACTACGCTCTGTTGCTCTGGAACGAAGGTCTAATTTTAGAGGAATGTAACATGTTTCCTGATTAATCGGAAGCCAAAGTGATCCAAATTTAAAAAAAAGTTCCTGAACGAATTAAATATTAGCTCGATTTAATTTTGACGAGAGTGGCTTGCCGATTCGAAGCTCTGTTCATCGGAAAATGTGATAGTACAAAGGAAATCCCGATCCTAACGAAAGATGATCTATTTTGGAGAAAGTCCACGTACTCGTGTCTGTTGCAACCAATCAGCAATCGCCATCGATTTGCAGGCGGCGTGCATGCGTGTTAATTCGTCAAATTGTAATGATGTAATAATCAATAGGTATAGTAAAGATTTCATGGGTACAGATCGTCGAGACACGACCTCGGCTTGGAGCCCCTTCAAATCCTGACGATACTCTCCGCTTTGCCAGGAAGTTAGTTTAGTTGCCCACCCAAACCAAACCCAACTAGGATAACTGATTTCACTACACACACTCGAGAGTGTGCTAGCTTGAACCATGCATTAAAGACGAAGAAAAACTCTATTTTAATTCCAAGCAATACTTGTAATTGGTATTTTCTATCTTGATTCCTTCCCTCTGAATTTTTACAATTTTTTATTAAATACAAATAGATTGCAATTTACCAGCGATTGCTGATTGGACTTCAATTTGCAATTACGAATTATAATTTTTGGCTCATTCGTATAAACAATTACGTACACGGGAAAACCAATTGTACATACGTTGTTCCTAAACCGATCCAGGAAGTATATTTCCGAATTGCAAAATGTAGTTCGATTTCCTTCGACATACGTTAGTAATATGCGTTATCGAGGTTATTTGGAGAGCCTTGGCGGTTTCGCAAACACACGCGAGAAAATCAGAACAAAATAAGCACGCAAAACTTTAATAGTCAAGGGCTCTCGTGTATATGTATGATGACAGTTATTTTCCGATTTTCCTTGGTGGCGCGAACGCGAGTAAATTAAATCTACGAGCCGGGATTTTTCCTCTTGTTTTCTATCGAACTGATTTCTGAAATGCACGAAACGAGCTTAATAATCATAGCTTGTACCCAGAGTCGCCACAACCCTAATGAGCCTACATAATGAGCTTGATGCATGATCGATCGTGTACAGGGCGTGCCAAAAGTCGAGGTCTCCTTACACTTTTCCGCTCGGAGTACCAACCTCAGCTTCGCGCATTTCTTTCACAGGCTCAGGGAGGGTAATTTCCATCTCGTCGTCTCCTGGACGAAGGTAACTCCATTCCATACAGTGTTCGAAACTCACAGGTGCCAACGCGCCAAATGCGCCTAAAAAATCGGCCATGGCGCCTAAAAAATAAAGGCTATGCGCCAACGTGGCCCCTAAAAATCTGGATTTTCATAGGAAGTCACATACAGGAAGAAAAAAAATATATTTGAAGTAAAAAAACTCAGAATTTTCAGCACTACAAGTGGAAGCTGTTTCTATTCTTCGCGATTTCATTCTTAGTGCTTTTGTTTGTCCTCCCCAAGTTACAGCTACATACTAGTTCTGTTACGAAAACATCATGCGTCTAACTTTTCACTAAATGCGCCGCAATATACAGGCAAAAAGTCGATTTGGTCCCTAAAAAATCTTCCATGGTGCCTAAAAATCTGGCTTGATGCGCCGTACGGCTTCTAAAACTCAAAGGTGAGTTTCAGGTGAACACTGATTCCAAAGTTGCTAAATTGACTCAAACAATTAGTGAATCTTACAAAAATGTACCTGTGCATTTTTTATTCAAAATTAGTCTAATATTTGCAGGAAATCTAAGGAAAAATCATTGAAATTATCACTTAAACGCGCTCAAGGCTCTCCTGGTTGTTGTGCAATTTGCGAGGGGAAATTTGGCAACATTGAAATGGAGTTACGTTCTTTCGTAACGGAAACGACGATCTGAGTTGAAGGTGTAGGGACAACTGGAAGGTATCTATCAAACGAAAATCACCCCACTGTAGGTTGCTGTGAATTTTGAAAGTAATATAAGCCAAAAAAGCTCTCTTTCAACAACAAAAAAATAAACAAGGAGAAACATCCAACATGAATATGTTGGAAAAGCGTGCCGAACAACTGAAATTTCGGAGACATGAGCTTGAATGAATCGCTGAACCAAGAGCTAATAATATCAGCTGTTTTGATATGGCATTCTATCATGGAGTAATGCATAGGGCTCATGTTGTATAGTCAATGGGTACGAAGCACCCATTAAAGTGCGGCGGGAAAAAATATTCTAGATTCAAATCGCTCTAGCGTAAAAAAGGGTTTTTGAAGGATCTGTCAAATGAAATAATACGGTTTTGACCGGAAAATGTTCTCAAGCAGCAGTTCATTCAGTTTTTTGGTAAAAGACCATCAGGGCTTGGCAGTATAACGGTTCAAAGACAAAAAAACGGGTCCGAGGAAAAAATATTTGGACGGCCCGTTGAATAGCATTGGTTTATCGGTGTGCTGTACTATGGTACATCCAAGTGATTTCAAAAAGCGAGCCCTACTGGCACGCTTAATAAATAAAAAAATCACCTAATAAACTGTTAAAGAGGCATTTAAAGTATGATCGATGACTCTTAGAACCGATAAAAAATGACAGAATTTACAACCGAATTGGAAAGTGAGTTTTTCTTTTCAAAAAACAATTCTTGTGCGGTGGATTTTGCTTTGAAAATGACTCGTAATAATGCGAGTCTTAATTTGATCTCCGTCCCTGGCCTCGAAAGAAGGAAAAGGGTTGATCCTCCTACTTTCCTTATAATTGCTCGTGACATGGAACAAAATCGAAGTGATTTTGTCGGGGAAAAAATTCATTAAGCCTTTACAACTCTACCAAAGCAACCTTGACCAGTTACGAATCGGCACATGCACGGCTGAAATTGCTTGAATAGCAAAATATTGACTACTTTTTGAACCTCCTTGTAATAATTATAATCAGGTCTTGCTCATAGGGATTTTCCCTCAACATAGTGCTATAGTATGTTTTATTATTTACAGTCAAACTACATCGAACCGTTTAAATCGTTCACATTTTATTTAATGCACCTCTAAAAAGAGTGAGGTTAATATAACATTTTTTATGTAAAAAAAAGTATGCGAGAATTTGATGCTGGATTACCCGCTACAGTAGTTAATTTTACATCTTGACACTCCTAAATCAACTGTTGTAGCGGGTAACTAGCATTTTATAAGTTCTCGCGCACTTTTTTTACATCCAGAATGTTAAATCCAACTTCACTTTTTTTTTCGGTGTAATTCTCCCTATGCACATTAATACATGCGTAATTTTAGTTATACATTTTTTATGATTTTATGTTGTTCAATTTTATCTTGTTAATGTTTGCTTACGGATGAAATAAATCTATTGCACATATGGATTACATTTTGCAATAAGGAACCACTATTTCTGGCTCTCCCATAAAAGTACTTATCTGCATAGGAAAACCAACGGAATGTATGTTGTTTCTAAAATGGACCAGAAATAATGGTTCCTTTTGGCAAAATGTAATCCATATATCGTTAGAACAGGAAAATCTATGCTTTTTTCAGCCTTCCAATTCCCAAAATCTATACGGCTTAAAGATGTCTCAATGTGTTTAACATTGTTAATTTTAGCTCCCACAAAGGATTCGAATGAGAGGTTCGGAGCTTGCAGTCTTTCGAGGAAGAAAACTCTCAAAATTTACGACCACGGCATAGAAGCAAGGTAGTAATAAAGATGTCTTATGCTGATGAATGTAATTCGACTTCCCTTTTTCCTTTCTCATAGCAAAAAAGAGCGGATTCCAGTGGTCTTTATGAAAAAGAAGAAAAAAAAAACGTTTTAAAGGTTATAGACTTGTAGACTGATTGGTATTGTGGAAACCAAAAAAATATTCCCTTACATTATGTCTCTTGTTTAGTTGTTTGTCTGGTTGGATTTGAATGTGCAAAATAAATTTGAGAAAAAAATGAACATCTGCCTCTCTCAATGTAAATGCAACTGATTTTCTCCAGCATACACAGAAAGACTAACATTTCTTGACGCCCTGAAGAAAATGATACGGCATATAATCTCTGATGTGGATGTGTCAACTGCCATGTTCAGAAGCGTGAGAGCCGGTACGTCCCACATTCTAAATTGAATCAGTGAGTTCGAAAACACACCAACTCGGAAAAAAAAATGGTTCAGGAAACACCTAAAACTGCGCAGCGGGCGAAGAAGTTAGTTTAAGGAAAATCTTTTTGGTGCCGAAGGACAAGTACCTGGAGACTTTGTAAAGCACCAAGTTGGAATTGATATACACCATGTTTGATGACAGAGAATTAAGCGTTTAAAAATTTCCGAGTTGGTGTGTTTTCGTTCCCACCGACTTTTTCGTCAGTGATTCCCACTGATTTTTCATAGTCTGAACTGAAAAATTTATATTTTTCGACCTGAATATTTATATAACTTGTTGGTACAAGGTATACCGAACCGAAAAAAGAAAACCGCAAAATCGGATGGTCACCCGTTTCCCTTGAAATGGCCAAAAATTGGTATTTCCAATGAAATACTTCGATTTTTCCCTTTTCTCGTCGCTGTTTCGAGTTCCGATTCCAATTTCGAAATTTCCTTTTGCGTGCAGGTGCTTCTATCCACAAGTGTTACTAAACCGCAAAAAAGTGAAAATCGGAAAAAAACCCGAGTTGGTGTGTTTTCGAACTCACTGATTCAATTCATCATGACTCAACCGTAGCATATATTCATGAAAATATTCTTACCTTTAAATGGGTTATTATATATCGTTCAACGAGCGCATGGAATTGTAGACATCATTGAAATTAAACTAAGATCTGCTAGTGAAGAGTATTGTCGCCACTTAAAAATATAAATAAAATAAATCAATAAAAAAATTACAAAATACGGATTATTCCGTCAACTGGTGAATTGGCACACAGAAATAACTTCACGAAAAATAGAATGCTGACATTTTCCAACGGATATTAATCCTCTCAGTTCAATGTATCCTGCCCCACGGAGGGAACCATTACTTTTAAAACCCGTCCTCACATTCATTTTATAATAATATTGTTTCCGATTTTATTTCAGCGACATTCTGGGCTTGGTTAGATCATCGACGAAATAAATGGTCTGGGCAAACCATTTGTTCCGAGCTTTGTCGTGCTAAAGGGGAACCATCGCGCACTGTTTCCCTAAAAATCTGCGCACATCATTCTCGCAGCATGATCGGAGGGCCTGATCGGGACGAACAACCATCGCTTTCAGAGAGTGTCCCTCTACACGCAGGTAGTCTCTCGAAATGTCACTTCGCAACCGGTTTTTTTCTCATTGCGTGGGGAAAAAAGGCATGTCATCCAAAAAAATTTCAATGGAAGTTATGAAAACTTGGATATAAATTTCATCAACGAGAGAAAACAATCGTCCACAACGAGGATGACCAAAACTCCAGTAAGAATCGCTCGCGTTTCGCACGCCCAAAGAGGGTGGGGGGTGGTGGGGTTTCGCCGATGGCCTGGACGGCACGCGACCGGGGACAACTGGTGACTGAATTTCAGCTTAAAATTGGAGGCGCGAGATTTTACGGGAGAGTTGACTTGCGCTAAAACACGGCGTTTACATTTGAGTTGCCATGACGACGAGAGGCACGCGCCCGTCGTGAGGGATCTCTTGGCTCGCCACCCAAGACCACCTGTGCGAAGCGACATGCCATCTCTTTTCTGTAACCTTACATGAGACGAAAGTTTTTGGCACCTCCACTGTCACGCTTCAGTATTGTCACACCCCTCCTCCAACCCCTGTTGAATCCAGGAGGGGAGGAGCTCGTTTAACCTAGGTCAGGTTTTGCTCTTTTTCTTACGATTAAGCCAAGGAATGAGGGTGGAGGCGACGTCGCGCGTCGTCAGTGGGCTGTACTGCTCAGAGGCGGATCCAGCAATTTGGCAACATCGGATTTCCTCCATTAAAACCTATGTTAAATAATCGATTCTCGTCAGATCACCTCGCCCCTCAAGAATCGATACATTTCCATAGGTTTAAATGGAGAGAGGACGATGTTGCCAATTTGCTGGATCCGCCAATGACTGCCCTGCTAAGGAAGAACGCGTGTGAACCCTCAGGCGTTACCAAATTTCCTTTGATAAAACGCGAATTGCCTGGTAAACTTGTGGATATCTTCCTTCAAATGTTTCAGATAATTTCGTTCACAATTTCATTTGAAGTCCCTGAAAATTTCAAGGGAAAATATTCATGACGATCCGCAAAAATGAACATTTTATCGAAGGTGATTGGTCGTATGTTCATACGGCGTTTTTCCTCAGCACGACAGTTTACGGGGACGAATCAGCGTTCAGCGAGCTGATTCTTGAAAATTGATAGACACACGGAAGACAGAGGCAAAATGGGGCGATCCTTTTGGTGGAAGCGGGTCGTAGCAATGCACAAAGGAGGTAAATAGTATAGACTAACTAACGGCAACCAACAGCAAACCCCGTAGTTAGTCCATCAGTTTTCCCTCTTAGTCCATAAGACACACCCGTCCACCCAATAGGATAGCTGCATACTCCCTGTGTCTTCTTTGTCCATCGCTTTTTCTATCAATTTCAGTTGCGAGCCCGCGTGGGCTCCGGCATACTGGCGGGTATAAAGGCTTCGCGCATTGTGGGTTGTATATGGCGTAAATTGAAGGCGGCCCAGGTTTCCAAGAAAACAAAGAGTTCCTAACACCCTCTCTTTGGAGCCCTAAATCCTAAACTTTTAGGACCCCTTGGACCTCAGAGATCCCGTGCAGTTTGAGAACCTCTCCAATTTGCCCAATCTCAAAGACTTCAACTGCTCCCCAAAGATTTGATTGGACTACTCGCTGTGAAAAAAATTGAAAATGATAACAGAAAAAACCACCCCAGAGGTCCCGAGGTGCTGCAGTGCACCGGCACTCCGACTAATCCGGCCCTGGAGCTGTTACGTGGTGCTCGCTGAAACTAACTCAGGTTAAAGCTAGATGCACGTAGTAAAAAAGACTAACCGACGATTTGGGTTAATGGGAAGTAGAATACAAAATAACCTAAATGAGCTGTTAATATTTTTTGGTTAGTTTTTCTCTGGATTCCACTGGTCAAATCTTTTGGTTTTGGTGTTGAAAATTTGCAGTCTCGTTAAAAATCAGGCGCAAGTCGCAAGGATCGAACCTGGACCGATTTGGTCCTAGTTCCACGCGTTAGCCAATCGCAACTCGTTGCCTCTGCGTGACGTCGAGAGAAACAAGAGCACATTAGTTAACATATCGGTTTCTTTGTCTCCAGATGTCTCAGAGTAACCTACGGTTTTGGTCCGTCTAATCAAAAATTTGGTCTATAAACCAAGTCCTTTTGGTGACCAATTATCAATCAAACACAAATTACACAGGGTTGCTTTCTCTTCAATGTACATCGTTATAAAGAAAAAAAATCTATTCATATTTTTCGGTACACCTTGAGAGATACAATCAGTTACACTTGTGTAGCAGCACGCAAAACTCGCAACTCCTCATTATAAAATGAGCCCACATATTATTAATTTCCAACATAACTTATCAATCTAATAGAACCACTAGTGCATGCACCCAACGATTTCATTGTTGACTGTGAGTACTCCCCTGACTGCTCCGCGGCCCAACCCTCGAAGCCCTTTACGCTCTCGGCGTTATGCGTTATGCGTTACACGATAATATTATGATTTTATATTATTGAGTAAGATTTGACAAAAAGTTAGATGTCTCGCAACAGATAATCTTGGGAGCTGCGTGAAGATTTCAAAGCGTGGCATAAGAGGTGCGTCGCCTTTAGACGACACCGTGTACGACCAAATGAGGAAACCATTTGAGAGGAGATAAGAAGTGTTGTTGAAAGCAAGAGCTACATAATTATGACAGCCACAGGTAGTTAACTTCGCATTACAAAGTTATCTCAAGATTTCCCGCGTTCGCCTCACACACCCAGCTGCCACCCGTATCATCCCTCGAGATCCTCTCCAAAATTCTCAGCTGCTACTTTCATCCCTTCACCTTTTCAACGACCCTCGCTTCCTCGATTTTACTGCATTTTATGACGTCAGATCCATAAAGAAAATTATCAGAGAGTGGATGATTGCACGTCGTGATATCATTTTTCTCTCCACAAAGGATAAACCTGGCAGCTAATGGAGGCACCAATTCAGGCATTATGAATAAATAATAATAGTATTTGAGGATGTAGATTCGACAACCGCATTTCTGTGTGCAATCTTGCTGTCAAAATTTGGGCAAAAAACCGGGCAAACAATGAACTGGTTGGAGAACAACATTTTAAGCAGATGCACACGTTTCAAGATACACTCTCAGAGTGTAAAAATTCTGAAAATTGGTGATATCCGTTTGATTTCATTTCATAAAGAATTTTCTATTTTCAGCACGATCTCTGAAACATGTAGTTTCAAGAAATATATCCGTCATTTTTCTCAGCATGAAATTCGAATAGAAAACGTGCCAAGAAAAGCTTGATTTCAGATTTTGATAGGTGAGCTTTTGTAAATTTTAAGTGTCGGGCTAACAATGATCATTGTTGACTTATACCCCTTATATCCTATTCTTTTTCTTCTCCTTTCTATTTCCTTCGGCCATTTAAGTATTTTGTAACGCACTTGGGAGGGGGTAGGGGATTGAGCCAGCGTTACGGTGCGTTACAAGGGGGGAGGAGGAGTCAAGCCCAACGATATTACCTTACAAATCCGAGCCGGGGGAAACAAAAACTTTGAAAAAAAAATTGCAAAAAATTGAAAATCCCGCCCGCCCCATAGGCATCTTTTCGGCGCGTGACCCAGTCGACGCACTGTAAATTGAGTCAATAGGAGAGGTCGGACAAAATTTAGAAACTTCAAAAACTTAAACTCCGTTTATACAAAACTCTGAGGTTCTAAAAGTGGTTCCATTGGTTTCTTTGTGAAATTCTCTTCTGGAAGCACTCTTTACAATTTAAAATGTGACGAAATAAACATCAAAATTTGCAGTTTTAGTGAAAAATTTCATGTCCGACCCCTCTAATTGACTCGATCCAGCCTTTACTCACCCTCTCACTTCTTAGTAGTATTCGACAGTAGTAGTATTCCGCTCTTCTATCTCAGTATATCGGCGAAATAATATCTGAAAAAAACCCACGAATTTTTTTCAAGCTGTTTTCTCAGCGATTTTTTGATTTTTTTTAAAAAAAAATGGGGTTGGGGTCAGATCAGCGCTAAGTAATTAAAAATGGGGTTGAGGCCTGCGTTAATAGGGGGGGGGGGGGATAAAAACATCGGACAAAGTGCGTTACGTAAGACTTGAACGGACTTACTCTTCTTTCCTTTTATTGTTCGTTCCTCTTCCTTTCCTTTTATTTTTTTCTCTTCTTCTCCCTCACAATAAATTTTAAGAGAGGAGCAATAGATCCACATTTAATCGTTTTAGTTTAGTATCAACGAGGATGTAAACTTTTGAAATTTTCACATAATCTCCGTTCCAACTTCTCCGGTTGACTGGATCCACTGTGCGGCGCATGGAGCGTTACCAGGAGGTGTCAAAAAGGGCTCAAAAACGTTACTCAAGCTCGAGACGAATCTCGAACCTTCTAAAGATAGCGACGTATTCGAAAGTAGAGAGAGAGAATGACGGATAGTGAAGAACAAAGAAAACGCACGCAAACCACTCGAGATTCCATTAAATGCTAATGCCGCACTCATATGTTTTTAACCTCCCTGTTTGCAGTTCCGTTCTGCAAAAAGTAACTCTGGCGCACAATACCCTAACCGAACATATATTAGTGCCCAACGAGGCCAAAGGGTCATAACCAACATTTTCGGAACTATTGATTTAGGAGTTACTCCCATTCTCACCATGGTTAGGATGGGGTCTACATAATTATCTGTGGAAAAATTTCATAGTATATAATGTTTAATGATAAACACGAGATGCAAAACCTCCGAGATTGAAAATTGAAGGGAAGGACTTCCCGAGATATCTCAAAAAAGGTAGCAATGTTTTTATGACCTTTCTGCTTCAACCTGTTGATATACTAAGCTTGTAATATTACTTTTTTAATCTATGTTAAATTTTATTAAATACTCAGACTGCCCTTCCCTGGTAAAAATTGGCGATAGGAGCTGCGTTTCAAAATACCATAAGAGTTCTTATAGCCGACTAAAGATGGCTACTGAAAATCATATAGCTGACTGTAGAAAGCGGAGCAAATCATATAGCCGGGCTATACGAAGCTATAAAAGAGTATACAGTCGGGCTATAGTTCCTATCGCCGGGCTTTACACTTTATCGCCACTAGCTATAAGAGGCTATGAAAAATTGTGTAGAAATTCGTGTGCTTTGGAAATCATTAAGTTTGATACGGAACCACCTTGATATTTACAAAACACACATTACATTTTCCTTTGAATCACTTTTTTTTCATCAATTAAAATTAGAATAATCCATACAGGATGTGCAAACATTTCAAAGTCATGAGTTGAAAAACGCTGACTCCGCGAGA